CATTGCAGCAAAGTAAATTTAGATTGGATATCAGGAAAAGCTTCATTCTTAGGACACTCTCAGTGCAATAGACAGGTTGCTGCATGGGGCCAGGAAGGAATTTTTTTCTACTCCTGTTGCTACACGTCAGGAGGGTGAGGTTTTCGCCTTCCTCAAACACATTGGATGTTGGGTGCAGCCAGGGCTGGGAATTTTGACTGGGGTGTGCCAGTGCTCCTGCTGAGACTTAAACCAGGAGTTCGTGGCTGATGGTCTTGCCCCTGTGCTCAGGGTCAGACTGATCACTGCATTTGGGGTCAGGAAGGAATCTTACCCCATAATCAGATTGGTACAGACTGGGGGGAGGGGGTGGGGTTATCTTCCTCTATAGCAGGGGACATAGCCCTCTTCCTCAGATCTCTCAAGCATATTTTAATAATCCTTGCAGCAGCAGGACATTGACCACTATTGTCCCCCAGTTTTACCTGTGGCAAGTTAGAGCACTATGCTTCGTGATTGTGTGACAGTGTTGCCTGTGTGGTTTTAGTAATAAGTTAGACAAAGATCTGCTTGGGATGATTTGGATAGGGATGATACTGTCTCAGGTAGGGGTTTGGATTAGATGACATCCAGAGGGGCTCTCCAGCCCTGCTTTTTTATGATTCTATGATTGAAACAACCAAACACCAGTCACCAAGTTACTCAGATGACTAACACCCAGAAAACAGACCAACCATCAGAACAGGGGCAAGGGACAAAGTACTCCAAACTGAATTTCACAGAGATTAATGTAGGACCACTCAAAATTGTCTGTAGAATCAGCATAGAGTAGAAGACCAGATATGGTGGGGGTAGCAAATCCTCCTGTAATATAGAGTGCTGCATGCAGAATTTAGGGCTCGGGCTTGGCGAGGAGGGTAAGTGGATATGACGCTGGGTATGATGATCAACAACCTTCTGTAGCATGTTGATCAGCTGGTTGAGAATCTGCATCATATTCCCTTGCATACGCTTATTGGCCTCCCATTTCTTCCATCAGTCCTACAGTATGTTCTCCTTCCACTGGCAGCCCCATCTGTCAGTACCATCCATGTGCAGATCACCTGTGTGAACACGTCTTCCTCCTGTGTTCTCCTTCTCCACTTCTGTACCTGACAGTTGGGTGGCTACTAACTATTGTAATGACAGCATGACTGAGAAGACTGAAAAAGAAAATGTGGGGCATGTCAGATTCACAGCTGTAGCCTTAGGTAAAGGAAACTGAAAACTCCCTAAAACTTTTTTCCCATTATAACAGCAATGAAGCCATTTGGCCTGATCATTAATGCCAGTGCTGCTATGGTAAGCTTCCCTGGCTGGTGGCTGCAAAGTTGTTGGTGACTGGTTGGGCTCTGGAATGGAGTTTGGGGAGGAAAACCTGAGCAGATCTGTAGAACTAAGTAAGATGTTAAAAAAATCTTTGTAGGGCATTGTAGTGCTATGGCCAGTTTCCCCTGAAGAGGATCACCAAGGCTGGAAAAAAGGAGATGATGTAGAAAGCAAAAGGATGCCCAGGGTGCTTTGCTGCCTAGGTGGTGCCAGAAATAGTCCTTGCTTAATTCTGGAACCAGGGATTTAGCAAGATGTCCTATCAGGATAGGAAAATAAGGCCACCATCCCCAAGAATCAAAATGAGTGGCTGTGGGAACATCTGCTGGAGTACTTTCTGGTAATCCCCAAGGTAGAAAGGGACATTGATGTCCCTCTGTGAGATAAACATGATTCTCCACAAGATTCTGTGGGTCATTTGGCAGCATAGCTGTTAAGAAGGCAAAAACCTGGAGCCACAATCCATGACCTCACCCCTACCTGCCTGTTTGCTACAGAATTTCCCAATAACATATATTTACAAGCACAGGTGGCTCTAGGATTTTGAAAATGGTGGGGTGCAGATGGTATAGTGCATCATCCCATATAATACAACACATATTTTTCTCCAGTTAAAAAGAAATGAGGTGCTTTACTAATATGTTAGCAGCCTAGGGCTACATTATCCATTTAAAATCGAAGCACAAAACAAATACAAATTATTGGAAGGTGCATTAATTTTCTATTAAGTCTAAAAAGCACAACAAATGAGGCAAAAGTTAATCAAAAGATGCTGTTTCATTAGTTCTGTAGCCATTAGAGTTAAATGTACATCTCTTTTTCAGATTAATCAAACAAAATCTAGCCTTCTTGAGTATCTTGGCAGTGCCTCACTACCAGTGTTTCACTGAAAATTATTTCCACATCTGAATTAATGTTCACCTGAGCTAACACTTTTAGCTAGAGTTAAAAAGTATGCAACACTGTTAAATAGGACCTAAATTACCAGGAGCAGCTAACAGGCAGCAAAATTGCTGAAGAAAGGATAGCTTGATTAGTAGAACATCAAGACTTTATAAAGAGGAGAGGGCCATTAACATCTGTGAAATAGTGTTTAGATGGAATCAGGTAGCTTGCAATGAGCCATGAAGTCAAGTGACTCCCTCAGCACTGCCTGACTAGAAATGTTGCTGCCACTGCCAGCAACATTTATGGTCTTAAATTTTGTGTGGAGCAAGAATTAAATAGGGGTGGGAGGGAGAGGGGTACAACTGCATCACTGCATTCCTCTGGATCCACCCGTTTACAAGCATGTTTCCCCATCGGGATCCCCACCCTGACCGAGCACACATAAATGCACCCTACTTGGATCACAGAGCTTGGTGATTCACAAGCCAACAAACAATTGAGACTTCTATCTGGCAGGAGGGCAGGCATTTACCAGAGAGCACTTTTCTATTTGAGGTATCTGCTCCTTTTTGTTGGTAAGGTGGTACTTAAAGCCTTGCTTTCCCTTTCAATCTGGAGATCAGGAGTGGGGAAGATGTAAAATTCATCCAGTATATAGTGGGGCATGCTGGAGAAGAACAGGCAAGAGCTGGGAGAGATCAAATTGCAGTACTTACAAGTGTTTGTTTCAGTGTCTCTGATGTTGTCTGTCCACTAGCTAGGATTGTCTTTGGTTGTGGAAGTTGTGGCTACAAAATACAACTGGATCTGGGAGATCTCATCCTCTGGGAGGATTATAACTCCTCCCCTTCCTCCTCGTTAGGGAAGTTGTCATCTTCCTCTGCATGGAACTTGAATGATGTTTCTTCCTGGGTACTGTGGACTCTTTAGTAAGACACTTAATTGAGAAGACAGGGGTTGTCCGAGGCTCCTGGGATTGAGTGCAGCTACTTGAAGAAGGGGCACATCACAGGAAAGACCCTTGAACGTTTATTGTGCATGATCATCTGGTGATAAGGCTGACAAAGATCCTTTGCTTTAGGTGGGCACTGGGTGCTGCTCCTATCATACTCCTGGGCATGCACCTCTCCCACCCTCCAGCTCCCCCAGACAACATTATCAGAAACATGCCAATTTTTCCTGTTCTTATGGAGCTAGGGTTGGATAGTTCTCTGATACCAAAGCCTGAGGAGATCTTTCCTATCCTGCAGACCTAATTACAGGATTACATACATGTGGTGGCAGGAAACAGAAATTTCCAAAATGGTGGACTGATTTTAAGCTGTAGAAAAAGTGGGTTTCAGTTTCGGCCAGGACAGTTTAAACCAGGGTCCAGAATGCACAGTGCAAGGAAGCATGAGATTGCTGAAGAAGGATTGCTAAGGCTACCAGAGACAGAGGAGGTTTTATATGTACCTGTTCTGAACGGCCATATGGGAGCAGAAGCCTTCTGTCACTAGAGATGGTAAAATATTAGGAGTGTAACCCAGGTGGTACTCAATTATGTACCCCTTCTCCAAATGAAGGGAGCGTTAGCGGGCAGAAGCACTGGGAAGACATGACTGCCCAGCTGGGTGCAGCTTTCCTCCCCCACATAGAGTAGAGCCAGGACACGTATTGTGGCTTCATAGATTTCATAGATTTCATAGACATTAGGGCTGGAAGGGACCTCGGAAGATCATTGAGTCCAGCCCCCTGCCCAAAGGGCAGGAAGTCAGCTAGGGTCATAGGATCCCAGCAAGATGAGCATCCAGTTTCATCTTGAAGGTGTTCAATGAAGGCGTTTGAACCACCTCCGGTGGCAGGCTGTTCCAGACCTTGGGGGCTTGGACAGTAAAGAAATTCTTCCTTATGTCCAGCCTGAAATGATCTTGAAGTAGTTTGTGACCATTTGACCTCGTCATCCCTTGGGGCGCTCTGGTGAGCCATATCTAGGCTTAACTAGATATGATTCAATGCCCAGGGAGGCGGGTGCCCCACGGCAGATCTTGCTGCTCAGAAGGGGTCCCCCCACAGCAGATCTTGATGCCCGGGGGGGTGGTCCGCTACAGCAGATCTCGCTGCCCAGAGGGAGTTCCCCCATGGCCAATGGTTGCAGCTACTTCCAGTAGTGGCTGTGGCCGCTTCTGGGAGTGGCTGCAGCAATCGGCCAGCACTTGCAGGGGGATCATCAGCGCTCCCACCTGCCCCCCTGCCCATCGCCTAAGCAGCAAGCATGGCTGATCAGGGAGTGCACTGGCGCTCTCAGGGGGTGCATGTGCACCCCCATGCACCCCTTACGCGTCACCACTGGGTTAGTCCCCTCTCTGGTCCAGCCCTTGGGTAGGGGCAGGGCAAGCTTCTCCCCTGTCATCACCTGATTGGTGGGGGAAGGGGAAATGCCCCACCAATCGCTTTGAGCCTCCTCAAAGCTGGCATGCTGGGCTGCTGCCATCAAGCCCGCCACAGGAGTTTTAATAGCTTAGAGGAACTTCATGCCTAAAGGATGCAAACATCTGCTACTAAGACTCAATTTTGCTATCAGAACATTACAGCATAGATCAGGCCTCAGTTAATGTCTGAGGTAACTTTAAAACAGGAAAGGAACCAAGTACGATAAAGCTGCCCATCCTGTGGGCTTTTCCTGACAGTCTACAGATTTGCAGATCCTTCCACTTGTCTCTTAAGGAAGACCCTAACCCTGATTAGTATTCTTCCTCATTTTGTTTTCCTTTCTTGTCTCCTAGGACCAAGGCAGTCAATCAAAACTTCTCCATGTGCTGATAGATAGCCTGGTTCATTAGCACAGTGAGCAAGCAATGCTCCTCCATCCAACTGGGAACCCTGTGTTTAAGCACCAGCTGGACAGCAGCTGCTCCTACAGGCTTCTTGGACTGTCTTCCCCAATACTAAGTGTCAGAGGTAAACAAATTTCTGTCCTTTCTCTCCTTTCACCATGATTGTGAGGGGAATAACAGTCCCCTTCTCTGCTATTTCCCCAGGTGTGGGGAGATACCAAATAATCCTGTCCTGCTAAGGCAGCCAACTTCTAAAAGTTATCTGCAGGGAGAAGGGGAAATGTACCTCCAGAATTTAGTTAAGGGAATGGGGAGAAACAATTAAATGTTGTGGACAAAAGATATTTTGGGGTCATTTGATGTCTGTTCCTTTTCCTCTCTTCCTCTTTCTATTTCTGCCCTTTCTGTCGTCATATTAGTTTATGCAAATATGTATAAATATATGCAAATGTTAATAACTTTACAAATTAATAATCCACTGGTTTTTGCTTCCTGGATCTTGACAAGTCTGCCTGACAGTCTGCAATAGCAAAAATGCTAGTCACGCAACTAAAATATAGTGGAAGAAGCATGGCTCAAAAACATCAAAGAAAATTTGCTTGAGGAAAAGGAAACCCCCCATATATATATGAACACACACACACACATATATATTTAAGAAATTAAATTCCTGGATAAAAAATGTAGCAAGTAAGATAATGTAGAAATATAGAACAGATGATGTCTGCCCAGCCACTAGAAATATTCAGGAAATGTAAGAGTAAAAGACAGTGAAACACTGTTTATTCAAGCAAATGAATCAGGGAGACAGCACATGCAAAGGTGAGTAATATCTGATTCCTTGGATCTGTGTCAAAAGGCAGCATTCATGAAATTCAGAGAAGAAGCTGAAATGGTGTTTAACAAAAATAGCCTGTCTAAAGGAGAACCAGTGAAAAGTGTATTGAAATAGAGGGCTATTGGCAAACAAAAACTACATTCACTTACAGTTTATGCTATGGCATACTACATCCACCTTCATTAATAAAAGATTGGAAATTAGATGTTAGGGCAAAGGCTGGTGCATTTCTCGACAAAATACTAACCATATTGCATACAATGTTAGCAATAACCCATTCCAACACTCTACAGTTAAATCTCCAACAGAAGCTAAAAAGGAATATGCACCCAAATATTATTTAGCTTGCACTCCTAGACAGAGCTTTTAAGTATTCTATACTCTTAAGATTTTCTGTTAATTCATTTTTCACCATCTACTATGAAATCTTTGTGTAATACTCCAACTTTATGGTTTGCATTTTGTTATTGCACTGAGAGTTTCACAAAATAAAAGTTCAAAGTTCCTGTTAAAACAGCTGTGTAGTACAACTGCGTTGCAGCAGCTACTGCACCATATTATCCTGCATGTTCCCCACTACTTCTGGGGTACTAATCCTATGACTTCCTAGAATGAAAAAGAACTAAATATGGTAGAGAAAAATAATGTGATGGAAGACGTTATGGAACCAAGAAAACAACAGGCCTCACAATGCCTGTTACAAAAAAAATAAAGATCTCTGTATGTGCACAGTTCTAAAGAGGCTCAAGGAAGTACTATAAACAAGTGTAGAATCTTTAGATTTGATTTGAGCAACAGTAGGATCAGAGGAAAGTAGAGCTGGAAAGGGCCTCATGAGGTCACCTAGTCCAACCCCCTGCTCAAGGTAGGAACATGCCTGTCTAAACCACCTCAGCCAAACAGCTGTCTAAATTGCTCTTGAAAATTTCCAGGTAGGCTCCTAGTTTGAAAGTTCCTCGTAATCCTCAACCTAGATTTTCCCTGCTGCAACTTGAAGCTGTTGCTCCTAGTCCTGTCCCCTACAGCCACAGAGGAAAGTTCATCTCCATCCTCTCTGTAATTGCCTTTCAGATATTTGAATATTGTTATCAAATCCATGCTCAGTCTTCTCCTCGCCAAACAAAATGATCCCCGTTTTATCAGCCTTTCCTCATAAGTCATACATCTCAGGCCTCTAATAATTTTTGTCACTCTCTGATGACCTTTTTCCAATCTGCCCACATCCTTCTTAAAGTGTGGAGCCCAAAATTGGATCCACTACACCAGGGAGGCCTCACCAGTGCTGAATAGAGCAGAAAAAAAATCACTTCCCTTGATATGCAGAAGAGGCTCCTATTGATACAAACCAGTATGATATTATCTTTTTTTGGCAATGAGCACACTGTTGCCTTATATTCAGCTTATGCTCCACTGTTACCCCCAGGTCCTTCTCTGTAGTACCACAGCCTAGCCAGTCATTCCCCACTCTGTATTTGTACATGTGATTATTTCTCCCCAAGTGTAGGACTTTGCACTTGGCCCTTTTGAATTTCATCTGACTGATTTTGGACTATTTCTCAAGTTTATTCAAGTCATTCTGGATACTAGCCCAACAACCCAGAGCATCTGCAACTCTGCCCAACGTGGTATCATCTGCAGATTTGCTAAACATGCACTAAATTCCATCGTCCAAATCATTAATAAAGATGTTAAACAATACCAGACCCAGGAAAGACCCTGGGGGGACCCCATTTGATATCTCCTTCCATCTAGACATTGAGCCGTTGATATCTTTCATCGTTACCACATGTCCACCATTTTGAATACCTTGCTTTTATTACCTCTCACTGGGCATTATTCATGCTCCAGAAATCTTCCAAAAGAAAATAAGTGAGATGCTGTGAAGCTGGAAAATACTTGGAGGAGGATTTAGAGGGGGAATTCTGAGAAAGAGCATAATATAAAGTTAAAACAAGATCTGTAGGCAAAACAATGCCTAAAACAAGGTTGCTGGACTAAAGTTACCTAGAGAAAACTGTATGCCATGACAAACCTGACTACAGTTCTCAGGGTGATACATAGGGAGCGCACGCAGGTGCATGTGCACCCTCTACACATGACGGCACATTCCTTGCAAAAAGGTGCCACCAACACTGTCGACGGTGCCTGCCGATGGTCGCTGCTCACAACCGTGCCGTTGGCACTGCCAGCAGCATCTGTTGCCAGTCCATGATTGCCTCTAGCTGCCGCCAACACTGCCACCAGCGCCTGTGGGTGGTTGCCGAGCCTTGGTCAGCGCTCACCACTCTTCAACCCCCCTCCCCCCGCCCCCACTGACAGTGCCAGTGGCATGCACGGAGCTCCCTGCTCACCACCACTGGGCTCCCGCTGCCGCCAGCGCAGCCGTGCCCCCACAGCCGCTGGGGACATGCACCGTTCATGACTGTTCTCAGATAAAAAGTCAGTACTAGAGGTAATAACACCAGCTAAAAAAATAACTAATGATGGTCCTTTGTAGAAGTGATTTTCACTCCTATCCTCAACAAGGCTAAACTCATCGTGAAGAGCTTAAAACAGACTCTGAGATTGGTTCAATGTATAAGAGTGTGCTTTATCAGATCTAGAGCCCAAATCCACATTTGTTATTTTATAATACTTCCAAATCTCTGCCATTTCAGCAGTCTGGACAGGAATGAAGTTGAGAGTGTGGCAGGGAATATGGCAAGAAGTTATACAAATGGCAGACCAACTACACAGAAAAAGGGTATATTCAAAAAAGGATGCTGGATATGGCGCTGCAACCCGGGCCAGCCACCCCTCGCCGGGGTCGCTGGGCTCTGACCCTGGGGCCCCGCATGCGTGCCGGGACCCTTCAAGCTGCCCCTCCGCCTTCCCCGTCTCATGGACGCTGTCTTCTCTAGCAGTTGTTGCGTGGGCGGATGCCGCCGAAGCAGATACATTTGCACAGTGTTCATACATAGCACCCCACCCAATCTTGTCCTGCAATCCACTGAGAATGCATGAACTTGGGAAACTCCTATCATTCTCCCAACTGCAAGGGGCTGACAATTTCCCAGGCCACTGCACTATCCAAGACCAGAAGGGCTGCTATTCCATCTATGGATTTTTATCAGCCAAAGGTGTTCACACTGTACATTAGCTATTTCTGTTCCATTGTAGTTGATTTTAAGTTTACATTGTCTTGTCATGCATCAGATCTATAAAGATTTCATCATTTATAGCTATTAAAAATCACAATGATACAATTTTTAATAATAACATCTATTCCTAATGTCATCAGTTTACAAACCTGATACATTATTTTCATTTAATCCATTAAAGTAGACCAGTTCTGTTGCACCTTCAATTAAATTAGTACAAGTTTGAATAAAGGCAAGATCACATCCCAGTGACAAGGGAGGTCAGGAGCAGTTCTGCTTGCAGAGATTTCACTCTCCCCTTACAAGGGATGATTCTTTTCTTTGCCTATCAAGTAAAGGAACTCAGGTTTTTTTTTCCTACAATGAGACAGGAGGATTAGTTAGGTCCATATGGGATGGCTGATACTCCAATGAATAAAGGCATTTGGGCATAGGTGCCAACTTTTATTTTTGCTGGGGGGGGGGGCTGCCTATGATGATTGACGTGGAAAGTTTTACGCGTTTCAGGTGGCAGCCCTCTTCCTGAGGGGGGGCCAGGGCCCTCTGCCTCGCACATACTCAGCGCCTCTGGATTTGGGGATACTTTACTTTAGATCTTCACTTTAGCTCCCAGTCATTGAGAAGATAAAGATCATCTCTCTTAAAGAGTCTTTCCTTTAATTTTGAATGAACAAGGGGATCTGAGACAAATCTGTATCAAGTCTCAAAAACATTCTATTCTGGAGAGACTGTTCCTGCCCCTTACAAACACCAGAGGGTCTTTCTCTCCTCCCCATTTAGGCCTGCTTATATAGCTTGTCCTACCAGTAACATCTCACTGAAGTGCACGAAGAAGTTCTCCCTTCCCTGTCTAAAAAATGAGGAATTCTGTGCAGGGAGGTGGCCCACAGGAATAAAATTTAGGGCACATTCTTTGTTCCCAGGCAATGCAGGGACTTGTAATAAGACAGTATGACGGAGTCTGTTTCTTTACCCCCTTCCATTAATAGACTTTGGGCAGGTCCATAAAGGGCAGTTTCCACATTCCCCCCCTGTTCTTTGGAAACTTTGAAAAACTGGCCAAGAAACTGTCTTCACCTTCCACTGCAGTTGTATGGCCTTCACCTGTCTAACTTGTGAGAAGACTGAGGATCTTGTCTGACTCCTTGCTCTCACTTTGAACCTATAACCTTGCCCTTGTTACTTGTTCCCCAGAGTAAGTCAGGCCCTGACACTGATCCTCAGCCTGCGGGGCTGGGCCTTCAGGGATGGATGGAGCTGGCTCTGTCCATTAGGAGAGAGAGGTAGGTAGCCTGAAGTCAGGCAGAAGGCAAGGTAGATTTGCATCTCATAAACTAACTCAGAGATGTACAGTATAAGCTAGGCATGTAAAGGAGGTGGCCCATGGAACAGACATGGCATACAGAAGCACATCATCCACCCCCAGTACTGCCCCTGGGTCTGGAGTTGATTCACAAAGCTCACATGGCATGCACCAGATCAGCCCTGCACCACACAGGGTGCCAGTTCTACCTGGCCTGGCACCTGCACTGCATGTGGGCCTGCCTTAGCCAGTCCAGGCCATGCAACATACATGGCACCTGCTCTGGCCAGTCTGGGACACGCACAGTGCCTACCCCAGCCAGCCTGGGACACACACGGCACACAGCACCCACTCCAGCCATTCTGGGACCTGCGCTGTATGCAGCACCCCCTGGCTACTCCAGGGTAGGCACCACATGCAGCATGAGCCCCAGACTGGCAGGAGTTCAATAAGAACAGGTGCAAACTCCTGCACTTAGGACAGAACAAGTCAATGCACCACTACAGACTGGGGACCAACTGGCTAAGGAGCAGCTCTGCAGAACAGGACCTGGGGGTTACAGTGGACAATAAGCTGAATATGAGCCAACATTGTGCGAAGGAGGCTAACAGCATACTGGCCTGCGTTAGTAAGAGTATTGCCAGCAGATGGAGGGAAGTGATTACAGGCAGTTCTCCGACTTAGGACACAATTGGTTCCTGAAAACCACAGCTTAAATTGAAACGTTGTAACTCGGAACCAATTTTCTCATAAGAAACAATGTTATAAATGGGGGATTGGTTCCTGAACCAAAGCTGGATACCCTATTTTCACCAAAAATACCCCAGAATTGTGTACTCGATCAACTATAGATGAGTCATATAGCTACATGAATGCATTTATATTGTAAATAGCAATAATATTGATTTGGAAGGACTTCTTTGAGGTGACTCTGCTGGACTTTTTGAAGGGCTCTCGGTTGGACTTTTTGAAGGGCTCTTGGCTGGAGTCTTCTCAGGAGTCTTGGCTTCAGGTTTTTCTGGAGTCTTGTCTGCTTTCTTAAAGAAACTGTCCAAGGCAGTTTGGACAGATGTTCTCCAGGGAGACAGATGACACAGTGAACTTGTTCGCTGGTGTGTCGTCACATCGGATCAAGCATTGTAAAATCAAAACTAACATCAGAAAGTTGAAACAGGGTGTCAATTTATAAACATTGTAAGTGTGAAACGTTGTAACTTGCAATGTTGTAAGCGGAGGACTGCCTGTAGTCCACTCTATTCGGCACTGGTGAGGCCACATCTGGAGTACTGTGTCCAGTTGTGGGCCCCTTACTACAGAAAAGATGTGGACAAATTCAAGAGCAGAGGGCAACAAAAGTGGTGAGGGGGCTGGGGGACATGACTTATGAGGAGAGGCTGAGGGAACTGGGCTTATTGAGTCTAGAGAAGAAAGACAGAGGGAGCAACCACAACGAGCGGTGGCAGCAGTGGCAGCCCCAGCATGGGCTCCAGGTCCCGCTTTTCTCACCACTGCTGCTGCCACTGCTCCTCATCATGGCCAGGGTGGGCAGGTCTGGTCTGGAGCAGGTACTGCAGGGAACCTGAACCCTCACAGGCTGGGGCCGGGGCTGGGGCCAGGGCCAAGGTGGTGCACTCGGATCTGGGGCTCAGGCCCTGCCTGTGCTGGCCTCCATCGGGCCAGGGCTGCCAACAGCAGCTGGAAGGAGCCACTGCTGCCGCTGCCAAATCTGCACCCAGCCACTACCACCGAAGCCAGGCATCAGCTCCAGTCACTCCACTGGGCAGAAGGGCAGCCCAGAGGCAGTGCTGGTGGCAGTAGTAGGGTGACCACCTGCCCCTAATTGGGCAGGACAGTCCCAGAATGGGACCCTCAAGTCCTGGTCCCAGGCTGTCCCAGATTCACAGCATCATGCAGGGATCCACAGGAAATGGCGTATTTCCCTGCAGGCTAGCAGCATTCCAGCACGCAAGGGGCTGCTTGGGGCTGCTGGGAGCAGGATGCAGGTGGTGCCACATCCATGTGTATGCCCACACACATGGCTGGGAAATACAGCTGGGAAGCGTGGAAAGCAGCTCCCTGCAGGTAAGTCAGGGAGGGTTTATGGGGAGGAGAGGAGGTATGGAGGGATGGGGGGTAGATCGAGGCCTCCGTGGTGAGGGAGCAAGTGGGATGGGGCTGGGGGCACTGCCCAGCTAGGGCAGTGCATAGAGTAGGACACAGCCACGGGCAGCTCATCCAGGGGGCACAGGGCACGGGAGGGGGGCAGCTCCCCACTGCTACATGCTGTTCTGGGGGGGAGAGCATGGGAGGCACGTGCCCCCCAGATGTGTGTGCAGGGCAGGGGTGGATACAGGCTGCCTGCTGTGAGCTTGGGGCTGCCTGTCCTGCTGTCCTCCCCACAGGGAGACCCCACCACCATGGCAACACTCCCCCCCCCCCCCCCCCCACTAGGCAGCAGTGGGGATGGCAGAGGTGTGGAGTTAGATCCCCTGCTGCTGCTGGACAAGCAGGGGGGGGTACAGCTGGCATGGGGCTCCTGAGAGGGCAGCAGGGCTGCCCGGAGCCCACAGCACTCAACCTGTATCTGCCCCCCTGCTCCATTTTGCTCTGCTCTGGCTGTGCCACCAGCGAGGAGGTAGAGGGGAAGGAGGAAGGTGGGCATGTGCCCTGCCTTTGCATTTTAAAAACATGGTCCCTCTAGGCAGTGGGGGTCTGGACACAGAGGCAACAGTCAGTGGTGGCTCCTTCTTGCTGCCATTGCTTCTGGTGCCATGGACACTGGTACAGGCAGAGCCCGAGCCCTGGGCTGTGTGCGCAACCCTGGCCACGGCGTGCCGTGTGTGGGGTTCGGGGTCCCTGCAGCGCTCTCCCTGGACCTGCCCGCTCTGGCCCCAATGAACAGCAGTGGCAGCAACCAGAAAACGTGAGACCTGGAGCTCCTGCCAGTGGGACCCACTGCCCTGCAGCTCCTCCCCATCACTGTTGCAGCCACCAGCGCCACCTCTGGGCCACGCCAGGCTCCTGCACCCAGTGGGGTGAAGGCGCAGGGCAGCCCTGGCACCTATACCAGCTCCCTGCCCACCTGCAGCCCCATTCCACATAGGGAGGTTTGGGGAGCGGTTGTGTGTGTGTGGGCGGGGGGGGTGACCCAGCCCACAACAGGGAGTTTTGGGGAGCTATATGGCCCATGGGCCCAAATATTTGCCTACCCAGGCTAGGTTGTCCTCAGTGGTGGGAGATGACAGAACAAGGAGCACCAGAGTCAAGCTGCAGCAAGGGAAGTTTAGGTTAGATATTAGGAAAAATGTCCTTACTAGGAGGGCAGTAAAGCACTGAACCAGGTTACCCAGACAGCTGGTGAGATCTCCATCCCAGGAGGTTTTTAAGACCCAGGTAGACACCGCATTGGCTGAAATGATCTAGTTGGGGAGGCCCTGATGTGAACAGGGGGTTAAACTACGGTTCACCCTCATTTTCGATGATACCAGTGGGCGCCGCAGGCAGCTCGTTTCACACCAGCCCTGCCCGGGCACCGCATGTGGCACCGTCCCAGACAGGCGGGAGACGGCACCACAGCGGGGCACGTCCGCGGGCTTCGTCGGGGCTGGCTACTGCCACGCATCCTGCCCGGGAACAGCACTCACCCAGCCCCGTGGAAAAGCCGGGCTCCCGAATTGGCTGCAGGTCGCATCCGCACCGCTCCCTGGGGGGCCGCTCCCATCCCAGTGAGCACGACCCCAACCCCGTGTCGGTGGCCAGGGGAGACGGCACCACAGCGGGGCACGTCCGCGGGCTTCGTCGGGGCTGGCTACTGCCACGCATCCTGCCCGGGAACAGCACTCACCCAGCCCCGTGGAAAAGCCGGGCTCCCGAATTGGCTGCAGGTCGCATCCGCACCGCTCCCTGGGGGGCCGCTCCCATCCCAGTGAGCACGACCCCAACCCCGTGTCGGTGGCCAGGCTGCGGGGCCCTCGGGGAGGGGGGGGAGCAACGCGGACCCAGGG